CATTAGATTAATCTGTGAAACCAGATTAACATGGCGTTTAAGTTCAAAAATTACTTTGTAATGGTTTTTATCTGTCTGTAAAATTAAATCACTCTGGTTGCATTCTTTCGTTACAGAAGTTTTGATTTAACTAATGAGTTGTGAAATCTCAAAGAAATAAACACACACATTTATAGCCAGAAATAAAATTAAACAACAGCTGAGCAAAAGGATTAAGAAAAAAGTTAATGCTTTACTTTGAAATGAATCAAGATTCTAATCAACAGAATTAAGGTAAATATTTAACCATTGTTGATACAGGCAGAAGTATGTGTCCTTGATAAAACCTGTCAGTAGACAAGATATGCTTAGGTATTTTGATTTTTGTATGTTAACCTTAGTCCTTATGCATGAAATGATTTATCCCCCCCCCTATATAAAGACATTCACAGGGAGACCAAAGAGAAAAACAATGACAGGGGAATAGGCTCAAAGACTGCAAATATGCATCTGCAACATCCTAGTTACCAAAATATCTACATCAAAGAACCATTTTTATATTTAAAAAAAAAAAAAAAAAAATATCCCCCCCACCTATATTTTTTGTATTGAAAACTAGTTTCCATGCCTTTTCTTCACTGTCTCTGTCCTGCTTCAAGCTTCTCTCTCGTCTGCAGGCAGTGAATCCCACTGGCATTCAATAAGAACAAGAAATTGGATCCCTTGTCCCCCACCATGTTGTTTACTTTATAAGCAGGTTCTCTTAGTCAGAAGATCAATGGGTTACACACCAGAGGCTTATCTCTTGGTCTTGCTCTTCTTCATCAGGTCTTTCAAATTAGAGATGAGGAGGAGACACTTGAATTTTATTGCTACATCACAAAACATCTACTACCAATGAATACAATGTCTATTGAATCGACCGGCAATACTAAGTGAGACAATAAAGCAATTTGGCAGAAATGTTTCTATGTGCTGTAATAAAACAGTGAAAACTTTTTCATAGTGACATCTTTTGGACAGAGTCATAACGCTACTTCAGGATTTGTAACCCAGTATTATGCACTATCTTCAATTTGGTGCTGTCATTTTGGGTGTGGCTATACTCTAACCAGACTCAGCAGTGACCGACAATAATTCACAAGGCCCTTTCATTATATTGTAAATCTAAAGCAATGATTTTTTTTTTCATTTCACCCCAAGCAAAGCAGTAAAGACACTAGAACGACAGAGGGGGTTACAGGGCATGAAAGTGAAAGAGAATTAGAAGACTGAGAATGGCGAGGATTAAGGAAAGGACACAAAAGAAACAGAGTTCAAAAAGACAGAAGATTGTGATTGATATTGCATTTAAATCTTTGAAGGTTGTAGTTATCAGGGAAGCAAGAAATCAGAAGGGAGAGTTACACAGGTGGGAAGTGTCAGAAAAGAAACTGTTGGAGTGGAAATGGTGATTGTATCTAGCTATTTCAACAGTAAAATGGTGGGACCTAGTTGCCAACCTAGTAGCACACTTAAATTCATGTAGATAGGGCACCAAGTAAAAGCTAGTCAGAGCAGAGCAGTTGCCATGAAAATATTTATAGAAAAAAAAACAGAGAAGTCACATCACATCAGTTAGAATATGACTGAAGTCAAGATACCTGTTCAGGATAGATTACATTACAGATCTTTCATTGGCTTTTGTCAAGAATCTCTAGATGTACAGCAGGAGCACCAGACCAGATATGGCAACAGTATTCAATGCATTAATGAATGTGCAAAATGGATTCTGACAAGATAAATTTCTGACACCACACACTGAAAGAACTTTCCTTGAAATAGATCTCCTACATTCTCCATTTCATTATCTAGAATTTCTAATATTCACAATTACACTTATTTCCAGAACTTGGGACATCTGCTTTTTTATTCTTTACTTTGTGAAGTGAACGAGTCAGAAATTACTTTCTTCTATTGAGCATTTTCATTGCTTTACAAAACTTTTTTGAGATATCTTTTTTTCTGCTCAATGTTGAGTTGAATTTAGGCTCCTTCATTTTGCTTTACAAACCAGAGAAAAAAAAAAAAAAAGAAAAGAAAAGGATAAACGGGTTTGGATGAAGAAAATAAGCTAAGAGGATTTCTATTTAAAAAACAAAAAAATCAGGTGAAAATTTGGGATGGCTAGGATCTATCCTTTTTGGATAGTCTCTTAAAATTTGTTTTTATTAAAGAAAAGTTGAGATGAAAATCTTTGACAGAAGAGGAATTTAAAGGAAGCAATTTTCTGCTTCTCTAAGAGATTATAAAGATCTTGTTGAGGAATGGAGAAAAAACACCATGGACACTGAAATCCAAAGACACATTGGAATTGTGAAAGATGCCTTCCAAAAGCTAAACAAATGTATTAAGAAACAGAAAAACTTTATCAGAAATAAAGAAAAGAGTATGGAACTGTTATGTAATATCAGTCTTCCTATATGGCAGCAAAGACTGAACAATCACCTAGCAGATGAAGAGACTTGAAGCAACGGAAGTGTGGTTCTACAAAAGGATAATGCGAATACGATGGAACAAACATGTGAGCAACAAAAAGTTTTAGACAAAATGAAAACTTAACATTTGGAAGAGATGGTTGAAATTTCTGGAATACATAATGAGGAAAAAGGGCTTGGAAAATTTGATACACACAAAACAGAATGAAGGCAAAAGGAAGAGGGGGGAAACACTACATAACCAACCAAACATTTTTGAGCAACTGGATGGCAGAGCAAGGTTTTCAAAGAAATAACAAAGACAAAATTTATTAAGAGCTACAAATGATAGGAAATTGTGGAGAGCTTTAATCACCAATGTTGTGAAGAAACACTATACTGCAATTTAAAGTTAAAAGTACAGAATATGCTCAAAGTTTACTGAGACAAATATTTTGAAAGACAATGTCATAGACAACATTAACAAGAATTGTTTGTTCCATTTCTTTATATGAAACCAATTGCACAGCATCCAGAATAGGATTCCAAAATTAATCTTTGTTGGTAAATTGCTGCTCCACCAAGGTAAACCATTCTCTTCAGAATGCTCTACAAGTTTCAATTTAGTTTAGGCCAGAGGAACAAAACCAATCACACTTCATCAAATGAATGATTTTGAATTTTGTTATGTCCAATGAGTTTTTTTCACCAAATATGATGGAGCATTATTGTGCATAGAAAACATTTACTTTCTGGAAGTATTTCACTTTTTTGCTCCATGTATACCTTAAAAACAAAATAAATAAAAAATATCAATCCATGCTTGAGATGTCATCATAATATTATCGAGAACTCATCTTGGATGTACCAATTCACAAGTTAAAATCTAACTCCCAGAACAACACACTCTATCTTAGTATTGTTGACATCTCAATGTATGAAGGTTTCCATCTAGAGAATAAATCCCCCTCAACCATCACCAATGGGCTGGGCCATCAAGGGCAGCACAGCATTCGTTAGTGATATTAATACTTGGTGTGGGGGGGGGGAGTTCGGTCTTCATGTGTTTAGTTGCCAATTTCATTCAATTTTCTTTAGGGATGCTTTTAAAGAAAGTCATGTGACGAGTCTCAGATGTTTTGCCACTTTTGATCTAGAACTCAATATCTAGAGCTTTTTGATGCTTCCTTTGCTATAACAAACACCATAAAAGATTCATAGCTTAACAAAGTTTTATAACTTCTCTCTTGACATGGGACACAGATTGACAAGGTAAAGTCCTTAATTTGTCTTAATGAAATCTGCATTTGTGTCATCCAGGATCTTTCAATCAACTTCCTCACAATTCAGTGATACCTACCAATCCAGCGTTATTTTCACTATTTTCAAGATCAAAAGTTAAAAACATTTATCTTTATATCCCACAAATCAGTCTTAAGACCAATTTGACAACTTTAGTTTGTTCATACAAATGGTTGCTGCTTGTTGACATCAGCAAAGACCAAACAACAGCTTTTGTCCAAACATCAATGTTGCAATCATTCAGCAAAGAAACCATTAAATTCTAACATGTATTTTACGTATCAAGAAAACTGTTCTAAAACAATTATTCAAGTTGTAAATTTTTTGAATGAAAATTAATCAAAAGAACAATTATACTAAAAGATGTTTATTCCAAATAACTATATTTTAAATATGTATGTGGTCTTGTTTTGAGAAAGTCCATGCTGATTTATCTAGAACTAATAACGCCCTTGAAGGATGGCATAGGGCTTTTTTTTTCAGCAAATGTCATCCCATCATCCCACAATATGGAAATTCTTAGAAGCTCTTAAAAGAGAACAGTAGTTGCAAGAAATTCATATTGCAAAAGTAAGAGCATGTTGTCAAAATATCAAGAGTGCCAAAAAATACTGCAATGTAAACAGAAAACTTGAAAAATTAGTAGCATCCTTTAACACGTATTCTTCAGTAGATGACTATTTTCATGCACATATAACTTAAAGTTAGAAGGATTTTTCTTACTAAATTGTTTTAATAATGATATTTGTATATCAAATAATTAGCATTTGTGTATTCCCTCTTTTAATTTTTATTGCAATAAAGAATTTTGCATTTCAAATAATTATGATTTAGATAAATTAATTGTCCTTTTGATTAATTTTCATTCAAACAATTTACAATTCAAGTAAATATTTTTCAAACAATTATTTTCAAATGTTCACATAATTGTATTTTACATATCAATATGAAATGGCTACTGAAGGAAAGAATGTAAAAATGAATTCCTAACATATTTCAGTTTTATTATTTTGTTATTAATTTAACACTATTTTGTTTTTTTATTGAAAAAGAAAAAAGATAACCACAGAGAAGGTTTTAATTTGTATGTAATTTTCATACAAATTTTATTTGAAAATTGTGTGGCAAATTCACGCTTTTTCCCTTCATGAGAACCCAAATCGAAAAAATAAATTATATCCAGAAACTGTATTTCATAGCAAAATACAGAAGACGATTTCAAGAAATAATGAATTGCTCTGATAAAAAAAAAAAATTAAAAGTTCATTCATCCATTTCTTGTAATGTAGCTGAAAGCAAAAGAAAACGTTTGCATAAAAATGAAATGAAAACATTAAACAGGTTTGAGACTGAAAACAAAGAAGAATTTTTCTGATTATTTTCATAATGATCTAATATCATCTATTTGCCACTATATTCTCGGCAAGCGAAAGAATACAAAATATGTGTTCGGATGAATGCTTGCTTTCTTTTCAGATATTTGCAAGAAAAGAAATAAAAATATTAATTAAGAAAATGGAATAATTAAAAACAATGGCCAATGCTTCAGTGAATAATGAAATGACTTTCCACCAGAAAGAAGATCAAAGATTTTCAAACATGACTGAATTAATATGAGAATTTTACTATTAGAAATATTAACATATTTAAATGAAGAAACAGAAATTATATATAAAAAAAACTTCTTAATTCAGTATAATTAGGCAGCAACTCTTCTTTTAAACAAGATTTATTAAAAAGGAGAGACATTCAATGTCTATTTAAATTATTCATTGTCTTTTCTAAGTTGCATAAATAACCTACAAATCTGGATTCTGCAGATGCAAAAAATATACCAAGTCAAGGCCATGTTGAAATCTAAAGAGTCATTTTCTGATGGTGGGAGGTGGAGAGAGGGGATAAAAAGCATAGTGAAAGAAAGACAAGCAAAAATGTTTTAAGCAACTGGAATTTTTTTTTAAGTGTCATTATAAACTGAAATGATGAAAATCATTAACAACATCCAATGTTAATGTGTATCATGAGATCTGAAAACTTGGACACAGTTTTGATTTGGGATATTTTTTTGCATCTGCAGCAGTCAAGTTTACAGAAGGTTATTTGCAGTTTAGAAATTATCATAGATAAATTTAATAGACATAGAATGTCTATTCTTTTTTATAAAACATGTTTAACCAAGGATTTAGGCAGTTTCCTGATTAAATATTTGATCATTCTTTTGACAACTTTATTTTTAGATAACTGAATTTCTTTGTTTTGCTGTTATCTCCACAACATTTCAACTAATCTCTAGCCTTCTTCAGGTGTATCTTTTGTAAGGAAAAGGGTCTCTTTCTGGGAATATTTTTGTTTTTGACAACCAAGGATGATTGTTGATATACCAACAAGATTAGGTCATTCAAGCAATATAAAATGCACAGGAGGATTTGTATTTATTATATAAGTGGGAGGGTATTTCATTAACTCTTTCCCTTTGAGCAAAAGAAAGCCCCAACATGCTGAAATCTCTAGTGACCTAAACTGAAGCAACCAGATGAGAAGCCAATAGATGTCAACACATTTAATGTGATTAGTCTTCAGAATTATGTCCTAAATTTTCTACACATCATCTACAAATCCATCTTTCTCTCTCTCTAGATATATAGTCTGCTGTACTGAATGGCTTTAACTCTCCCTTTGGATATGACGTTCAGGAGACACAGCTGCTCTTTCCCCTGATATTCTTTTCCCTATATGAACAGAGAATGTAACAAACGATCTTTTTTTTATGAAATGGACAAAGTCTGATAATTATTTTAAGACATTTTTATGTTTATACATTCTTTTTTTATAGATACAAATATTTAAGTAAATGCTCTGTTTATTATAAACAGTATTAATAACATTTACCGGCCTGAATGTCCGAGAAATTTTCATAGAAAATATTCGTCCTTCGACAGGATTCGAATCTGTATCCGATATGGAACCGTCATATAGCCTGACGTGCTTTTACCGATTTCGCCACAGAGGAGTGTTTGATTAGCAAGGTCAATTTTACTGTTTTTAAACTACAATCTTCCATGATTATCTCACGTACATTCATATCTGCTTGATGTGTATCCAAATGTAAACAAATGACAATAATTTTAAGATATTTTTATGTTTATACATTCTTTTTTATAGATACAAATATTTAAGTAAATGCTCTTAAATAATTAAATATTTGTGTCTATAAAAAAGAATGTATAAACATAAAAATATCTTAAAATCTTTTAAAAAAAAATGTTCTTTTGAGATTAACTTATGCATTATTCTTTTGAGATTAACTTATGTAAAGGTTTTTGGAAAAAGTATTCTTTTGAGATTAACTTATGTAAAGGTTTTATTATTTTTTGAGATTAACTTATGTAAAGGTTTTGGAAAAGTAGCCGTATTCTTTTGGATTAACTTATATAAAAGTTTTGGAAAAGTAGCGTATTCTTTTGAGATTAACTTATGTAAAGGTTTTGGAGCCGTATTCTTTTGAGATTAACTTATGTAAGGTTTGGAAAAGTAGCGTATTCTTTGAGATTAACTTATGTAAGGTTTTGGAAAAGTAGCGTATTCTTTTGAGATTAACTTATGTAAGGTTTTTTGGAAAAAGTAGCCGTATTCTTTTTGAGATTAACTTATGTAAGCGTATTCTTTTGAGATTAACTTATGTAAAGGTTTTGGAAAAGTGGCCGTATTCTTTTGAGATTAACTTATGTAAAGGTTTTGTATTCTTTTGAGATTATCTAGCCGTATTCTTTTTGAGATTAACTTATGTAAAGGTTTTTGGAAAAGTAGCCGTATTCTTTTGAGATTAACTTATGTAAAGGTTTTGGAAAATGGCCCGTATTCTTTTGAGATTAACTTATGTAAATCCAGCCGTATTCTTTTGAGATTAACTTATGTAAAGGTTTTGGAAAAGTAGCCGTATTCTTTTGAGATTAACTTAAGGTTTTGGAAAAGTAGCCGTATTCTTTTGAGATTAACTTATGTAAAGGTTTTGGAAAAGTAGCCGTATTCTTTTGAGATTAACTTATGTAAAGGTTTTGGAAAAGTAGCCGTATTCTTTTGAGATTAACTTATGTAAAGGTTTTGGAAAAGAATTAGCCTTTTTGAGATTAACTTATGTAAAGGTTTTGGAAAAGTAGCGTATTCTTTTTGAGATTAACTTATGTAAAGCAGCCGTATTCTTTTGAGATTAACTTATGTAAAGGTTTTGGGAAAGTAGCCGTATTCTTTTTGAGATTAACTTATGTAAAGGTTTTGGAAAAGAAATGTATTCTTTTGAGATTAACTTATGTAAGGTTTTGGAAAAATATTCTTTTTTGAGATTAACTTATGTAAAGGTTTTGGAAAAATTTTTTTGAGATTGTTTTTGAAAAAAGTCACGTATTCTTTTGAGATTAACTTATGTAAAGGTTTTGGAAAAGTAGTATTCTTTTGAGATTAACTTATGTAAAGTTTTTGGAAAAGTAGCCATTATTCTTTTGAGATTAACTTATGTAAAGGTTTTGGAAAAGTAGTATTATTCTTTTGAGATTAACTTATGTAAAGGTTTTGGAAAAAGTAGCATTATTCTTTTGAGATTAACTTATGTAAAGGTTTTGGAAAAGTAGCCGTATTCTTTTGAGATTAATTATGTAAAGGTTTGGAAAAATAGCGTATTCTTTTGAGATTAACTTATGTAAAGGTTTTGGAAAAGTAGCTTAGTATTCTTTTGAGATTAACTTATGTAAAGGTTTTTGGAAAAGTTATTCTTTTGATTAACTTATGTAAAGGTTTTGGAAAAGTAGCGTATTCTTTTTGAGATTAACTTATTAAAGGTTTTGGAAAAAGCCGTATTCTTTTGAGATTAACTTATGTAAGGTTTTGGAAAAGTGGCCGTATTCTTTTGAGATTAACTTATGTAAAGGTTTTGGAAAAGTCATGATTCTTTTGAGATTAACTTATGTAAAGGTTTTGGAAAAGGAGATTCTTTTGAGATTATTCTTTTTATATGTAAAGGTTTTGGAAAAGTAGCCGTATTCTTTTGAGATTAACTTATGTAAAAGGTTTTGGAAAAGTAGCCGTATTCTTTTGAGATTAACTTATGTAAAGGTTTTGGAAAAGTAATGTATTCTTTTGAGATTAACTTATGTAAAGGTTTGGAAAAAGTAGCCGTATTCTTTTTTGAGATTAACTTATGTAAAGTTTTGGAAAAGAAGATTAACTTATGTAAGGTTTTGGAAAAGTGTATTCTTTTTGAGATTAACTTATGTAAAGGTTTTGGAAAAGTAGCCGTATTCTTTTTGAGATTAACTTATGTAAAGGTTTTGGAAAAGTAGCCGTATTCTTTTGAGATTAACTTATGTAAAGTTTTGGAAAAGTAGCCGTATTCTTTTGAGATTAACTTATGTAAAGGTTTTGGAAAAGTAGCCGTATTCTTTTGAGATTAACTTATGTAAAGGTTTTGGAAAAGTAGCCGTATTCTTTTGAGATTAACTTATGTAAAGTTTTTGTATTCTTTTTGAGATTAACTTATGTAAAGGTTTTGGAAAAAGTGGCATTATTCTTTTGAGATTAACTTATGTAAAGGTTTTGGAAAAGTAGCATTATTCTTTTGAGATTAACTTATGTAAAGGTTTTGGAAAATAGCCGTATTCTTTTGAGATTAACTTATGTAAAGGTTTTGGGAAAAGTAGCCGTATTCTTTTGAGATTAACTTATTTAAAGGTTTTGGAAAAGATTATTCTTTTGAGATTAACTTATGTAAAGGTTTTGTAGCCCGTATTCTTTTTGAGATTAACTTATGTAAAGGTTTTGGAAAAATAGCCGTATTCTTTTAACTTAAAAGAAAAAGTGCCGTATTCTTTTGAGATTAACTTATGTAAAGGTTTTGGAAAAATTCTTAAAGGTTTTGGAAAATTATTCTTTTGAGATTAACTTATGTAAAGGTTTTGGAAAAAACGTATTCTTTTGAGATTAACTTATGTAAAGGTTTTGGAAAAGTAACAGTATTCTTTTGAGATTAACTTATGTAAAGGTTTTGGAAAAGTAGCCGTATTCTTTTGAGATTAACAAAAGTTTTGGAAAAGTAGCGCGTATTCTTTTGAGATTAACTTTTGGAAAAGGTTTTGAGAAAAGGTTTTGGTAGCCGTATTCTTTTTGAGATTAATAAAGGTTTTTTGGAAAATGTATTCTTTGAGATTTGAGAGGTTTTGGAAAATTATTTTTGAGATTAATGTAAAGGTTTTGGAAAAGTAGCCGTATTCTTTGAGATTAACTTATGTAAAGGTTTTGGAAAAGTAGCGTATTCTTTTGAGATTAACTTATAAAGGTTTTGGAAAAGTAGCCGTATTCTTTTGAGAGATTAACTTATGTAAAGGTTTGGAAAAGTAGCCGTATTCTTTTTTTTGGAAAAGTAGCCGTATTCTTTTGAGATTAACTTATGTAAAGGTTTTGGAAAAGTAGTTTTATTCTTGAGTATTGGAAAAGAGTAGCCGATTTTTTGAGATTAACTTATGTAAAGGTTTTGGAAAAGTAGGCCGTATTCTTTTGAGATTAACTTATGTAAAGGTTTTGGAAAAGTAGCCGTATTCTTTTTGAGATTAACTTATGTAAAGGTTTGGAAAAAAGTCATGATTCTTTTGAGATTAACTTATGTAAAGGTTTTGAAAAAAGTAGCCGTATTCTTTTGAGATTAACTTATGTAAAGGTTTTGGAAAAAGTAGTTTATTCTTTTGAGATTAACTTATGTAAAGGTTTTAAATGATTCTTTTTGAGATTAACTTTCTTTTGAAAAGGTTTTGGAAAAAAGGCTTTATTCTTTTGAGATTAACTTATGTAAAGGTTTTGGAAAAAGAAATGTATTCTTTTGAGATTAACTTATAAAGGTTTTGGAAAAAGTAGCCGTATTCTTTTGAGATTAACTTATGTAAAGGTTTTGGAAAAGAAATATTCTTTTGAGATTAACTTATGTAAAGGTCACGTATTCTTTTGAGATTAACTTATGTAAAAGGTTTTGGAAAAATAGCTCTTATTCTTTTGAGATTAACTTATGTAAAGGTTTTGGAAAACAAGCGTATTCTTTTTGAGATTAACTTATAAAGGTTTGGAAAAAAGCCCGTATTTTTTGAGATTAACTTATGTAAAGGTTTTGGAAAAATCGTATTCTTTTGAGATTAACTTATGTTTTGAAAAAGTTTATTCTTTTTGGATTAAATGTAAAGCCCCATTCTTTTGAGATTAACTTATGTAAAGGTTTTGGAAAAGTAGCCGTATTCTTTTGAGATTAACTTATGTAAAGGTTTTTGGAAAAGCTAGCATTATTCTTTTTGAGATTAACTTATGTAAAGGTTTTAAAAAAGTATTATTCTTTTGAGATTAACTTATGTAAAGGTTTTGGAAAACTGTAGTATTATTTTTTGAGATTAACTTATGTAAAGGTTTTGGAAAAGCCGTATTCTTTTTTTGAGATTAACTTATGTAAAGGTTTTGGGAAAAGCAGTATTCTTTGAGAGATTAACTTATGTAAAGTTTTTTGAAAAAATGTATTCTTTTGAGATTAACTTATGTAAAGGTTTTGGAAAAGTAGCCGTATTCTTTTGAGATTAACTTATGTAAAGGTTTTGGAAAATGTAAAGGTTTTGATTATTTTTGAGATTAACTTATGTAAAGGTTTTGGAAAAGTAGCCGTATTCTTTTGAGATTAACTTATGTAAAGGTTTTGGAAAAGTAGCCGTATTCTTTTGAGATTAACTTATGTAAAGGTTTTGGAAAAGTAGCCGTATTCTTTTGAGATTAACTTATGTAAAGGTTTTGGAAAAGTAGCGTATTCTTTTGAGATTAACTTATGTAAAGGTTTTTTATTTTTGAGATTAACTTATGTAAAGGTTTTGGAAAAGTAGCCGTATTCTTTTGAGATTAACTTATGTAAAGGTTTTGGAAAAGTAGCCGTATTCTTTTGAGATTAACTTATGTAAAGGTTTTGGAAAAGTAGCCGTATTCTTTTGAGATTAACTTATGTAAAGGTTTTTGGAAAAGTAGCCGTATTCTTTTGAGATTAACTTATAAAAGGTTTTGGAAAATAAATATTCTTTTGAGATTAACTTATGTAAAGGTTTTGGAAAAAAAATTTTCTTTTGAGATATAAAAGTTTTGGAAAAATTCTTTTGAGATTAACTTATGTAAAGGTTTTGGAAAAAGTTTATTCTTTTGAGATTAACTTATAAAGGTTTTGGAAAAAGCCATTCTTTTTGAGATTAACTTATGTAAAGGTTTTGGAAAAGTAGCCGTATTCTTTTGAGATTAACTTATTAAAGGTTTTGGAAAGTTATGTATTCTTTTGAGATTAACTTATGTAAAGGTTTTGGAAAAGTAGCATTATTCTTTTGAGATTAACTTATGTAAAGGTTTGGGAAAGTGCGTATTCTTTTGAGATTAACTTATAAAGGTTTTGGAAAAATATATGTATTCTTTTGATTAACTTATGTAAAGGTTTTTGGAAAAGTAGCATTATTCTTTGAGATTAACTTATGTAAAGGTTTTGGAGATTCTTTTTGAGATTAACTTTTGTAAAGGTTTTGGAAAACGTATTCTTTTGAGATTAACTTATGTAAAGGTTTTGGAAAAGTATTATTCTTTTGAGATTAACTTATGTAAAGGTTTTGGAAAAGTATGAGTATTCTTTTGAGATTAACTTATGTAAAAAAATCGTATTCTTTTGAGATTAACTTATAGAAAAGTTTTGGAAAAGTTTACGTATTCTTTTTTGAGATTAACTAAATGTAAAAAAAACTTATGTATTTTTTTTGAGATTAACTTATGTAAAAACTTTTTTGGAAAAGTATGTATTCTTTTGAGATTAACTTATGTAAAGGTTTTGGAAAGTAGCGTATTCTTTTGAGATTAACTTATGTAAAGGTTTTATATTCTTTTGAGATTAACTTATGTAAAGGTTTTATATCGCGTATTCTTTTTGAGATTAACTTATGTAAAGGTTTTGGCATTATTCTTTTTGAGATTAACTTATGTAAAGGTTTTTGGAAAAGTAGCCGTATTCTTTTGAGATTAACTTATGTAAAGGTTTTGGAAAATGTATTCTTTTTGAGATTAACTTATGTAAAGGTTTTGAAAAGTAGCATTATTCAGCAGTATTCTTTTTGAGATTAACTTATGTAAAGGTTTTGGAAAAGTAGCTTTATTCTTTTGAGATTAACTTATGTAAAGGTTTTGGAAAAAGTAGCCGTATTTTTTGAGATTAACTTATGTAAAGGTTTTGGAAAAGTAGCGTATTCTTTTGAGATTAACTTATGTAAAGGTTTTGGAAAATGTCGCGTATTCTTTGAGATTAACTTATGTAAGTATTCTTTTGAGATTAACTTATGTAAAAGCCATATTCTTTTGAGATTAACTTATGTAAAAGGTTTTCAGTATTCTTGAAAGCCATTCTGATATTGCAGTGTCCACATGTTGTGAATTATAATATTTATTATAATGTTTTATTTAGTGAAATTTATGTGTATGAGTGCATTTAGGAAAAACCTAATTATATTGGATGGACTCATTAGGCCAAGGGAGTGGTGGTTCACCCTTAGTTGGTTATAAAAGATGGGCACTTGGACTAATCAACAGTCCTAGCAAATAGTCAGTAGCTGATGACCATGCAGCTCTAGTGGAAGCAAGTTGACAACGACTTATTGTGCTGCAGAAACTAAATACATAAAACACAGATCTTGTGAATCTATAAAGTTACACTACTTAGGTATGGAGGGTTTGTTAAAGTAACAGAGTTTGTACTTCTGGGATTTCACTCTTAAAAACAACATGGAACAATCCTTATAACATTAAAGGATGCAAGATATATCTTAATTCTCTTTACAACATTGCAATATCACTGAGGAAGATGTTTGTCTAGCCTTGAAGCTACCAAACACTACACACCTTAGTACCAGTAGGGGGATAATTCAAATAAAAAACCAGTGCATGCAACATGCAACCCCCCCATACACACACTGATTCTATACTTGTCATCTGTCCAAGTTTACTAGGAAAAAGAAGTTGTTATATTTCTCCTCCTCCTCCCCCATCATCAACTGTACAGATGATGTAATGGAGTTCCATGTGGTAAGAGTAAAGGAGGAACTGATCACCCCATATATCTAAAATCCAAACTGGCAACTTCAATGAACAGGCATTTCATTTAAAGCAGGAATTATTTTTTTTTTTTTTTTTTTACATATCTATTTTTAAATAAACTAGAAATAAAAAAAATAGATACTAACAAATAAAATAAATTTCATCAGGAAGAGAAAATATATTTTTTCTCTGAAACCTGTTTTTTCTTCTTAATACACTTCCAAAGCCATTCAGGTGTCACACAAGACACTGAGTCAGAAGAAACTGCATCCTCTTCCTAAAAAAAACAAAATAAAAAAAAATCAAATATTTTACGTGTTTCTGTCTGAATTGCTGGGATGAGGAGACATTTTATTATTTAGACTATTTACATTCAGACTATTGTCCTCATCTTTGTTGTTATCACATTTCCTACAAAACAATAGCCTAGTGCATCAGTTTGTGAATTTAATGAAACAGTAATTGTGAATTCAATCTCTGGGCCAGGTAGTGCGTACTTGGACTCAGTGGGAAGAGGGCGAGCAGTACTAAAATAAGAACTAGAATTAGATATCTCTAGTGAAATGAGAATAGTCTACCCCGTAGAGATTAAATAAAGGGTTCAGTTTGAAATTCCATGTAGCTTACCTAGATCAATATACACCTGATGAAAGCTGGATAACCCAACAGCCAAAACATTGTAAAAACAACAAAGATGAGGACAATAGTCTGAATTTAAACATTATAATTTTTTATATATATATATATATATATATATATATATATATATATATATATATATATGAGCAAAAACTGTGCAGCATTTAAATAATCATGCATCAAATGAAAAGAATATTTTTGAAAAATCTCAATCTAAACAAATGATGTTTGTCCTACGAAAGAGAGATATATAATGAAGTAAGAAATGAAAGACATCATCAGAATTGATAGAGATTGTGTTCTGTCAAATAGCAGTATGATGATCAGGTAGGAATAGATAATGAGAAAACTAACTTCAATGAATATTGAAACAGGTCAGTAACAAATTTAGTTTGTCCTTCATTTTTAACAGATAAATTCTTATACCATTGTCTGTAAATATTAGTTAACATTATTTTAAAAAATAATACTAGTTCTAAAATCTATTTCTATTTTACACAGTAATCATTTTATCATATTAACTTTGTCAATTTAGCTTTATATATTCTTACTGAATGAAGTGATTCCAATTTAAATGTAAAACTTTATGCTTCTATTTTTTCAAACAATTTCTCTTATTTAATTAAAATGTATGAAGGCTTTTTAAAGTTGATTATCTTCAAATGTTTAGGTATTTATCCCTTCTATACATCATGTCAAATTCTGTTCAATGTTTCCACAGCAAAAAATGTCATCTACTAGCCAAGGTAAGTAAAATTTTCAGGATATATTTATATGATAAATATACCAAGTAAATATTATCTCTCTTTATTAAAAATATTTCTAACTTTTTTGGTTGTGTGAGATTTTATTATGCAAATCAAGTGTTGTGCATCATATGGTAAATAAATATCTATAATAGTAAATTATATTTATTCTTTTATTTTCATATAGAGAAAATTATTATGGGTTGTAAGAAAAGAAAGACAAGATATTGTAAAGTCGTTGAGAGATGAAAATACAAGATTAGAAATTGCAGAAAAAAGAAATTGTACAATGATCAGAAAACAAAAAAAAGAAAGAAATTGAAAACATTGGCAAGATAAGACCAAGTAAAAAAAAAATGATTTTAAGAATGTCACAAAAATAGAGGTAAAAGGAAAAGGATAAGCAAGTGGGTTGGCCAGCAAGGAAATATTTGAAGAAGGTGATGCTACAAATATAAATAGAAAAGGTGCAGAACATCTGGCTAAAGACATGAAAGTAAACAAACTACAACCTTTAAGTTAACATCACAAAGAGATATATGTAGATTGGATGATGAAATAAATGAAAACCAATTTTTGAACAATATCTTTTGCTGTGATGTAGAGTTACATTAAATAGACCTGATGGCTGAGATAAAGGTTGGGTCATTTATGGGAGTAGTCAACCAATATGAATTAGAAGACAATAAGGGTGAGGTGGTGTAATGCTTTGGGTGGGTATTGTAGATAGTAGAATCATAAGCTCCTTTATGGCTAATTACAATAAATGCAGAGAATTATTCAGAAGATATAAATCCCAAAGAAACTTTTGGTCCTTCATTAAAAGGATATATATATATATATATATATATATATTGATTGGAAATACAATATCCATTCAAAAGAAGATCACTGAGAAGTAATAAAAACTCCATTAAAGCTAATGTCAAAACAACAGAAAAGGTTAAGAAAATCAATGGATCAGATTAATGACAGTCATAGAATATCAAACAGTTATTATTTACGTGTAAAGTAATAAAATAATTTATTCAGGTAAATGGAATATTATTTTAATGAAATACATGTTTCTATAGAATTTATTTATAAACATAATTTTATGCTGCACTTTGCATAATAAAATCTGACAGCTTAAAATAATTTTCAGTAAGGACGAATATTATAAGCTGAACGTCATACAACAGGTTGCTCAAATGAATATATACTTAAATTTTTACCAATATTGATTAGTTAGTACCAATGTTATTGTGAAAACGTTGACTTGCATAATAAAATAACATTGTGTAATATTGAATATCCTTGTAGAATAACAGGCAAGACTTGGCTAAATTAATATTCAAAGTAAAGAGACATTTCCAAGTAAATAGGCAAAACAATAACAAGAAACATTTCATAATCTGTATAGACTTACATTAATTCCACTGACTATGACAATATGAGTGGCTAGTGACTTCTGAAACTCAGGCACAATTTCACCATTAAAAGTTTGAGGAGTTAAGGAGAGAGAGAGGTAAACAAAGCAAAAAAAAAGGAAGATAACTTTTCAGATTAAACTATTTACAAAATAAAAAAAAATACTAAATAAAATAAAAATTTCTTCAGTAGAGAATGTAGTTAACTTTAGTCAACACAGTGAGAAGAAAATACAAATTGTCAGAGAAAATTGACTTCATTTCACAAATAATAAAATTTGCAAAACTCAAAATAAAAATATAAATGGGGAACAGAGAGAACAACTTGGAGACAAATTAATCTTAAGTAGAAAATGAAAAAAAGTAAAAGTAAAAAAAAAAAAAATTGCATTCAATTTTCTTTCATGTTTGATGATTAGAAGTCATCTCTGGTGTCACTGAAGACTTACACATAAATTACTTGACACTGAACATAAGTACAAATATATTTCATACTGTACCAAAAATAAACATTTCAGGTTTTCAAAAAAAACTTTAATCTTTGTAGAAATCTTTGAAAAATATGAATGAATCAGTAAAGTTAGCCTGCTTCATTGTAAGTTATTCTGAAAAATTAATTCACTCTACTGAAACTGTTACAATATTATTAAGTATATTCACTGTATTTTCCAAAAGCAATAATAATTGATGTATAATTACAGTAATTTCTATAAAATCATGAACAATGAAAACAATGTTCAAAATAGCTTATTGTTGTGTTAATCAATTAATCATACATATATATGTCAAATGAAGACAAAGAAATATTGAAGAGATTTTTTTCTGAAACACAGAAATATAAGCAATTCATCAATATTTCGCATTAGATTCATTTGGAAAATTAAATAATCATTATAGACATAAGCATAAAACTTGACTATATTCATTAGCATGCATTATATATATATATATATATATATATATATATATATATATATATATATATATTGATGCATGTTTCATTAAATAATATATACAAGTTTTGTCTATTTATTTTAAGTAAGTTCCTTTTATATTGTCTGATAAGCTTAATCACATTATTGTTGAAAGACGAAAGGAAAACACCATATTGATACATGTTTAAATCTAATCTAAGCTTTCAGCTTACACAAGCCATTATCAAAGATGACAATTTCAATAAATCAAACAACAGATGGATGTAACAACAATGATAGTCCACCCTTGCTGCATGAAAATTTCCAAGTAACGACAAACTTGTATATGAGACGTGGAAGCGAAAATTGCGTCGCAGCTAGTGACGTCACACATGACCACGCGAGAGTGAAAAATGAGAAGTATTAAGCCGAAAAGCTTAGATTGGATTTAAAGATGTATCAATATGGTGTTTTCCTTTCGTCTTTCAACAATGTGATTAAGCTTATCAGACAATATGAAAGGAACTTACTTAAAATAAATAGATAAAACTTGTCTATATTATTTAATGAAACATGCATTAATGAAAAACTGCTGCCTTATATATATATATATATATATATATATAAAAAAGGCAGCAATTATGAAGAAATATAGTTTCAAGGTGTGATATATTTATGGGATAGAGTGCTCAGTATCAGAGATAGAGCGTAAACATAAATATAAAAGTGAACATTGAAGTCAATACTCAGAGGTGACAGACTGTTTCATGCTGGACGCAATCGTCACTTTCTTTTTAAAAAGTGCTCAATACAACATAGAGCATAATATTTTTAATATTTTTATTTAAAAATATTTTACATTGCAACACGGAACAGAAAAAATTTCTATGTTTCGGTACTTAAATGTTTTTATCCTATCATCTGGCAATGTTCAGTTACTTTTGAAGAAAATGATTTACTTTCGAAAACAGAAAACAATACATTAAATACATTATTAAAGGGGGGATCCAGATTTTAAAATCTTTTGGGTATGTCTCTTGACTAATCAAAAGACAGGTCAAAGCTCATACAGAAAAGTTAAAAATATAGGTTAGACATTGAGGGTAGTGTGGTATTCATACATGTCTCAGGGGAACTGTTATATTAAGACACAACTTCACACTTCCAGTTAAGAATATACATTTAAGTTACAAAGAAATAATCTATGTATATCTTACTTATTATAAAACGCAGATTCTGTGTGTGTGTGTGTGTGTGTCTGTACATTTATATATTGGATTGGATTTCCTACATTTTTCAACAGATTTCAACAAAACTTCACAGGACTGCGTAAAATTACCTTGTGGTGGTTGTGACAGTGCTAAAAATTAGAAAAACACAATTGTTTTTGCACAAAATCAATTTGAAAATATGATAAAACACGATTCTGTCGCCAGAATGAAAGGGGGACAACTCATATAGTTATACTTATAAAACCCAGGTTGTGTGTGTGTGTGTGTGTGTGTTCCTTTATATATGGGATCGGATTTCCTACATTTTTCAACCGATTTCAACATTACTTCACTTTTTTTTTGGCAGGTAGTGTTTCTTATTATCTTGCACACTTTTTACTTTATTTTTACATTCAGAATGCTTTAAAAATTCCATTTACAAGACAATTGTTTATAATAAAATTCTATTCAATCGATAGACTGATAATGATTGAAAACAATGTTTTTGTTTGAGTTTGGGTTTGACCAATTCGTAAAAAAAAAAAAACTAATTAAGACATGCGTGTTCGTCAACCTTAAAAAATAATCTTTGTAAATTTTATTTTTCAGTCTTTATGATGGTCGATACTTGATCTATCTCTTACTGTTACATCCCCGGGCAACGCCGTGCTCTACTGTTAGTCTCTAATAATAGGTTAATTTCTTATTTTTAAATTATTTTTATATATTTTAGAACTATTTTAATGGAGCCTTTAGTATGATTAAATCATTTATATATCATTTTGAACCTAAAATACAATACTCATTTTATTCAATGGGCCTTAATACATGGCAAGGTTAAAATTTAAAAAAAAAATCAAGGAATTAAATAAATATTATATGTACCATCTTACTTATTATAAAAGTGTGTGTGTGTGTGTGTGTGTGTGTGTGTGTGTATATATATATGTGTGTGTGTGTCTGTACATTTATATATTGGATCGGATTTCCTACATTTTTCAACCGATTTCAACAAAACTTCACAGGACTGAGTAAAATTACCTTGCGGTGGTTCTGACAGTGCCAAAAATGGGAAAAACACAATTTTTTTTTGCACAAAATCAATTTGAAAACACGATAAAACACGATTCTGTCGCCAGAATGAAAGGGGGACAACTCATCTCGAGTTATACTTATTATAAAACCCAGGTTGTTTGTGTGTGTATGTGTGTTTTTGTTTATATATGGGATCGGATCTCCTACATTTTTTCAACCAGTTTCAACAAAACTTCACTTTTTTTGGCAGGTAGTATCTCTTATTGTCTTGCACACTTTTTTCTTTATTTTTAACATTCAGAATGCTTTAAAAATTCCATTTACAAGACAATCGTTTATAATAAAATTCTATTTAATCGATAGACTCATAACGATTGAAAACAATGTTTTTGTTTGAGTTTGGGTTTGACCAATTCGTAAAAAAAACCAAAAAAAACTAATTAAGACATGCGTGTCCGTCAACCTTAAACAAAAATCTTTGTCAATTTTATTTTTCAGTCTTTATGATGGTCGATACTTGATCTATCTCTTACTGTTACATCCCCGGGCAACGCCAGGCTCTCCTGCTAGTTATATAATAAAATAATGGATATATAATTATAATACATAGATTTTTTATGATTACAGGAAAAAAAAAACAACAACAATTTGTAAGTCTTTAAATGACCCATGCCCAGTGTGCCTACATGAAAAGCTACATACCATTAAGTTTCCTAAAAATAAGGATCTATTAAATCAGTGGAATGAACAGACTGTAACATGTAGGCATTGCACAATGTTTACATTAGAATAAAGCTAAAAGATTTTTCATATTACATATATATATATATATATATATATATTTGGGCAGCAAAATTTTAAAATATCTTAAATATCTTTCTTTAAATGACAGAAAAGGAAAATTTAATTCATTTTTATTTAGTTTTTCCAGCGTTCTTGCAGTTTTCCATTTGGTGGGAGCAAGGGAGTGCAAAAAGTGTCTGTATTGTCCATTGCCCCAAGCGCTTTTGGCCACTCCTTTAACTATTTTCAAAGGACTTTTGTTTTAGGTGTTGTTAATGTCTCTTCATATTTTGATTGCTTAAGGTGTAATTTTATTTTTGTGTTGTTTTGAATACAAGTAGGAGCTTTTTTTTCTGAGTCTTCATGTGTTGAGCACAACTGGAATTCAAGTGAGCATCTTTCTACTTTCTAAGAAACTTTCAACACTCAACTGACACTGTTAAATAAGGTGAGGTTGATAGTGGGAAAGAGATGTTTAATATACAGGGCCTTTCTTATGGCAAGATGTTTGCAGTAATGGGATTCATATAGAATTTTAGTGTTTTTAACCAGAGTTTTTCTTAAGGTTTCTATTAAATTGTGGGTACATAGATTTTTTTTTGTTTTTTTTATAGCACTTTGCTTTGGATAAGTCACATGTGAGGAATCTATTGAAGGGGGTGGTAGTATGTCCGATATAGGTAATTGATTTGTGACAAGAAACAGTCTTGTACTGAGCAGTGAAATTGATACTCTTCATCGCCTGTTTAGATTTGATAAGGTTATTTTGATTAGTGACAAGGTTTATGGTTTTCCATTTTTTGTATCTTTCAGGAATTACAGCAGAAATATGGTGTTTAATGATGCTTCGTATAGTTAATTCACTTATAATTATTGTGTATCGAGTTGCAGTAAAATAAGTTGATGTTTCGTTGTGTGGTATATTTATTACTGTTATCGTGTATTTTTGGTAAAAATAATTTTATTTGTTTATCAATGATGTAGTTGGAGAAATTATTGTTGACTAATGTTTGTTTTATGTGTTTTAGTTCACTCAGAAGAGTGATTTTGGTGTGCTCTATTTAGGAGGTTATTTATCACTGCTATATTTTATATCTTTCCGGGCATTGATTATCATAGGTTAGAAGAC